TGTACATGTACGGTGGTGTCAGGCTGAGATTTGTTAGCCTTTCTGTTGGAGTTGAAATTCATGGTCACCGTACTGCCTGCTTGCTTGACTCGCGTTTCTTCTTCACTGTTTCCAGTAGTGTCACCATTATCTGCATTTTCCCCTGAGTCTGTGTACATGGCAGAGTTTTCAGCATGGATCGTATCAGATACAGAATATACATCAGCGACCTCTGGGGTGGGGATATCGTTATTACCTGCTATGTAATAATGCTCATTTGTGCTTGTACGTTTAGATTCGTCGACAGCTACATACAGTCCTTGACTACTGGGAGAGTTTTGATCACATGTTGACATTCTTGTTGGCTCTGCTGCGTTTTCTGTGTGCAGCACATTCTGATCCGAGTGGGGATTATCTTCATTTTGTCCTGGGCTTGTCGGCTCCTCTGCATGGGGCATCGGATTGTTCTCTCCTCTGTTCATTGTGACTCTTTTGGAAAATGCAGGAGGAGAACGAGAGTTTATTTCAGAGCTAGTGCTAACAATACCACCTGCATGATATACATGTAGTACATGTACAGTAAAAGTGGAGATGTGCAGTTATTCCTGAAGTCTACCTGCACTCAGGGCCATGTACTGGGTATATGCAGGTAAAAGCAGGTAGAACTGGAACTGTGTAGGTATTTCTGATCAATGTCTTCCGGCACCTAACCTGCACTGGTCCATGTACTAGGTATATGCAGGTTAGTGCAGGTAAAATTGGAGCTGTTCCCGACCGGTATTTCTGATATCTACATGCACTGGGCCATGAACTGCGAATATGCAGGTTAGTGCAGGTAAAATTGGAACTGTGCAGGTGTTTCTGATGTCTACCTGCACCTAACCTGCACTGGGCCATGTACTAGGTATATGCAGGTTAGTGCAGGTATAATTGGAGCTGTGCAGGTATTTCTGATGTCTACCTGCACCTAACCTGCACTGGTCCATGTACCGGGTATATGCAGGTAAGTGCAGGTAAAATTGGAATTGTGCAGCTATTTCTGATGTCTATCTGTACCTAACCTCCACTGGTCCATGTACTGGGTATGTGCAGGTTAGTGCAGGTAAAATTGGAGCTGTGCAGGTACATGTATTTCTGATGTCTACCTGCACCTATCCTGCACTGGTCCATGTACTGGGTATATGCAGGTTAGTGCAGGTAAAATTGGAGCTGTGCAGGTATTTCTGATGTCTACCTGCACCTAACCTGCACTGGTCCATGTACCGGGTATATGCAGGTCAGTCTAAGAGTGTTTTTCAATCACAGTGTGTACAAGAGGCCTTTCATCGATACCAAGAACATATCAATAAATTCATTTAATGTCTTCCTACATAGAATGTGTTATATGTATACATGTGTTATATGTACTTAATGTTGCCGCTGAAATGGATGCTACTCACTCAGATTTACATTGGAGATACCAAGCGCTTCTAGCTCTGCTTGACTGTTTCAATTAGATATAGAAGTCCAAATACTATGTATGTGTTAATGGGCCTAAATTCTCCTCCTAGCTCTGAGTGGCGGATGTATCTGTATCTGTATAGCCGGTATAACCGCCTTTCGGCGTAACACACCAGCTTCGCAGGCACGCGGCGCGGCGGCAGCTGGCTATATTACACCGATCCTGGATGTGTAGGAGTTTACCACGTAATCTTATTTTTCAAATAACTTTGTTAGCATTAACATTGTTAATGTCTCGGGGTGGTGGGACTACGGCGCACAGATATGTCAACTTTGTGTATTTAAATGTTAATTGTACTTTTTTGTTGTGTGGCGCTGTTAATATAAGTTGTAAACTTGAGTCCAGCGTCACACTGTCCTTGTTATGTTTTTATGTTTTGATGAATAAAAAATGGATTTGATATGGACAGAATAAGAGGTTAGTTTTCCTTCTAACTCTCTGTTTTCATCATATGTCCCCTAATGCTAAAATGAAAAGCTAGCTGCATGTATGTGCAAAAAAGCAAAAAATTTGATAAAAAGTTCAGCCAGAGCCTACAATGGTTTATTATTGTGTAGTGATCTTGTTTACATCTTCATTATTTGTATGCAGTCACACTCCTACAAAAAGTTATCTAGAAAGTCTTGTCAAGCAAGAAGAATCTGAAACAAAACATATTCGACAACAATTTTTATTCCATAACATGCTTTATTCTGTATATACCGGGCCATTTTGGAAACTACAATGTATGTTAGGGGGACTAAACAGTTAATTCATGTAACTACAGGGCTCGAAATACCCATGTACAATGCGCAAAATGCACATGATTTTCAAGATTTGCACTTAAAAATATATTGAATGTGCAATTTTGCACCTAGAGCAGGAGAGGGAGGGGCATTGTAGGCCAAGAAGCAAAAATAACTTGGGATTTGACACTCCCAGACCCAAGGACAGACAACACTAATTGTGCTGTGAAACAACAGTAGCTTGTTGACTAATTTGTATAATCCTTGTCTTGACTTTTCGATTTCCAAAAAAAAGTTTCTTGACTTATTTGCATGTCGATCAATAGTTTTTACTAACAACTTAAAACCTGCCATTCTCCTGCAGTCTCTAAGTGTCACTGAAAGGTAGTGGATGCTGCCATAAAGGTTTGGCCGTTTGCAAAATCGATAATCATATCCATGCAGTTGCTTGAGTATCTGTTTTTTTGGCATATCTTTTACCTGGATGTCTAACCTTTACCGACATAAAGATAATTTTGCACATAATTTTTTTTTCAAATTGCACCTTAAATTTTTGCCGATGTGCAACTTTGCACATACCTGAAAAAATATTTCAAGCCCTGGTTAAATATGTTACAATGAAGTGAATAATCAAAGTCAAACAAACAACACTACTCGACTCAACATTTGCCAACGAAAACCTTTCAAATAGGTGATGTAGTTCACACTGCTGTACTGGGACTTGGAAATGTGTTCTGAGAATTTTAAGAATTGTCATATATACTTTTTTATCTACAGAAGGGAAGAATATAATACTGTGAGAATAAAATATTCTATTATTGCCATTTCGACAACCACCTAACAAATAATGATAAATTTATTGAAAATTCATGTCCGAGGGCTAACAACAGAATCCAAATTTTACAACTAAAATTTTAGCATAAAATTCAGATTCAGGAAAAGGACTAAGAATGAGACAAATACAAATATAACATGTGAATAGTCTTATAGATGAATCTTAATTCTTAATTGTGTTAGACTTCTTTATCTGAGGCAGTGGAAGACAAAAGATCCGACTTTTTCTGTAATGTGTGTATTTTTCATGCTAAGAGAAGAGTAGTTTTGTTTTTGTGTACTTAATATTGAAAAATTGGGGGAAGGTATTTGTTTGATTCTTTAATAATGTAGGTCAGGAAAGTATTTTAATTGGTTCTAGTCAAGTCAATAGAAACCTCTAAAATGCCGAAACACTATGGAAAATAACATCTACAGTGACGTAGACGAAATATACACTACTTAATGAAGGTATTATCAAAAGGGCAAAGCAAAGGCTGTTCTCCTGAAATATAATTGGTGGTAGGCAGACAATAAAACTAGCTCGAAGCACGCAAGTTTTTCTTGACAATTTCTTTTCTTCCAGTAGGTAATATTTGGATGCACACACACACACATACACACACACACACAAACAAACACACACACACACACACACAAACACACACGTAAGCTATGGAAAGCATGATCTTGGCGAAGGCAATAATCATTATATAAAAGAAGGTCATAGAAGTTGTCGAAAATTTTGTTTGAATTATAGTAAGTGTGCTAGTATGTACAAATTACAATCTAAATGCAAATTCTATTGGCCTCGTTAACATAAAATTACTAGTACATATGCGCAAACACAAAGAAATTACCATACGGGTCTTTTTACCATACAAGAATGTCTAATAGTGAGAAAGTACATTGCTTCTAAAAGGCACCCAAAACTAAACTGCATTTTAGAGGTCAATTTCCTGGTCTCTTTTGAATGTGGGAAATTGAATCAACTGTATCCCATACCATGATACAATCTAAAGCTTCCAGGTTCACAGTGCTACTTTTTATGTAAAAAGAAACAAGAAAAATACATTCTACTAAGTTAATTTTTTTTTTTTTTAAAGTCACAACCTACATGTATTATCAACCTCTTCCGTGGGCGACGTCTATCTGCAGTCCAGACTCATCGCTGAAAGCAATCTTGTTTTCTGCACTAGATATTAATTTACTGCATAAAAACATCATGTGATACCTACCCCGGAGTGCAGACTCATCACTGAAAGCAAGATTGCTTTTCGAACTTAAGATAAGAATATCTTGAAGTGAGTCATCCTGTATCATGAACTCTGCCCTAACTAAATGAATGTAGCATCTAAGTATACGTACCTGATTAGTCTAGGCAAGTCGTTGAAAGTCGGCTCCGCCTAAAAGTCATAACATTCCAGCTACTGTTTCCCGGGCGGCGGTACAGTGACTATTGTCAGAATTTATCATTAAATAAACTTCCAAGATTTCCATTATTCTGCCCCTTAAATTGCTCAGAAGATGACTGAAGAGCATCTATATAGCAACGAAAGTGGAGTTCGTAACAAGATGACGTCCCCTTCAAACGAAGATGTCAACAAAGGTAGGTTATAATCTTTTATTATTGCGTTTTGGAACGTATAATTCTCCCATTTACGTATATAGCCCAGAGGGAATCTGTAATGTATTAGCAAAATATAATTTAATATTGTTAAATTGTCATTGTCATTGTAGTTTTGATAGGTATTTGTGTTAATAATTTATCAAACCATCTAAATCAAAGTGCATATTTGACCAAAATTTTAAGCAGCGCTTAACGTTTGAAGAAAAAATTTAACTTTTTTTTTTAACATAGAGATACTGGTCTAAATATTCTTGTTTTCTTGAACCCCGTTTTCTCAGATTATTTGACATTTATCTTGTCAAGAAAATGTGTTCTGTATGAAAAAAACTGATGTTGGAAATTTGCACCGCAGATATGGAGAACGAAGTGGAGCTACCTAGTACCTGCTATCGATCACAACTATGAAGTTGTAGAACAAGATGAAATCCTGAATGAACCACAGACTGGAGATCAGACGAGTGCCGGTACGCCTCCTGTGCCTGCTGGTAACAACATCGCTGATCCACTCGGTAACGCAATTCACGACCCTGGTCCCCCACAACAAAAAAAGGACGGAGGTACGTTCTGCTGTTTGTATTATTTTACTGTGCAACTTTTCTTTTAACCTATTGGTTACATTTTCATGGCTGTATATCATATACAATTGAATTGATTCTATTCGGAAGTGGAGATTGAGTATTGAACATGTTTCTTTATTATTCGTCTCTTTGAATATTCTAATTCTAAAAAGGTATGAATGCCATCCGTTAAACAACGGTGCAGTAGGAAAAGTAAATGAAACTTTAGACGCTATTCTGATGTATCGTTTCTGAAGCAGAAAGAGCGGTTTAAGTGATGTAGTGTACGTACTTGCCCATACAATATTACAATAACTTAAGTAAGGATAGATAAGACTATAATAGAGAGTAATAAATGTTTTAGGAGTTAAAAGATTTCCTACTTTCCGTATAATACCAATGTTCTTGGATATTTTTTACTAATAAGATCGATGTGATCTTTCCATGTCAATTTTGCATCTATTAAAACCCCTAGAAAACGTGTATTTTACCGTGCAACTTTTCGTTTAACCTATTGGTTACATTTTCATGGCTGTATATCATATACAATTGAATTGATCCTATTCGGAAGTGGAGATTGAGTATTGACCATGTTTCTTTATTATTCGTCTCTTTGAATATTCTAATTCTAAAAAGGTATGAATGTCATTCAATTTGCCGGAACTCGAATTAAAAGTTAAGCTTTACACATACCTGGCAATGAAATAGTGAGAGATAGACATCTACTTAAGACTACGGAAAAGTTATAATTATGAAAATCTATTATAATGTGAGCTTTTCTTCAATAATATGGCAGGTTTGTGTAGAAACGTGGGGTATGTGCCCGGTGCACTACGAAAAGCAGACGAAAAAGAAGGTAACTTATGTTGGACTTGTTTAAATTCTAATGGTGTCACAGGCAAGAACATACAATGGTAAAAAAATGTACAGAACTGATATATGATAGCCATATTTTCTTTTGCATACTGATACACATTTGCATTTGTTTTATATCATATCTATGAACAATCTACACAAATACTAGCGAAATAGCCTGCTAGCCGCTTCCTTGAAAAGCACAAAATATCATAATTTCATGTCCTCAATATTATCTTCATCAGATAGTTATCTAAGTTGACCTAAAGGTTCTACATCAAAGCAAATTTGCTTTACTAATTATAATTGCCTATTTAAATAATTACAACCAACTAGAGCCTCCCGGCCCTGAATTTATACCAGTGTCCTTCTTTTAAATAAGAGAAAAAAAGAGCTGCACATGACCATAAGAAATAGAGATATGTCTGATAACAAACATCAGTTATTGGCTACACACAGGATGCACCACCAGTACTGAAAACATTTGGGGGCGCCTAAAGAGCTACAAGTGTCAGCGCCCCAGCCTTCTCCGTGTTATCGCCATCGCTATACCAGTAGTCGCCCTGTTGGGAGCAGGAGTTTGTGTCTCTATGTATCTCACCTCCATGGAAAACAAGGTATTCATTATGGGACCAGCTTCTTATCTTAGATCTAATGTGCTTTGTAAGGTGTCTTTTCTGCAGCAATATCAAAAGTCATAGTACTCACATTGTACTCAGTACTTACATTGTAATAATGGCAGCACCCCATGCCTTGTTCATTTGATGATGATTTTTAGCTTTTGAATGATGGTATGATCTGTATATATAGTATTACAAGTAAACTTTATCAGGTTTATTATATTCACGTATTTAAATTTATTTCAAGCACATATTAAAACACCTTGAAAATTGTACATCAGTCTGTTATCTTAAAGACACATAATACAGTTACAACACTGATCGTTAAAAAAACTATAATAGCTATATTGACCTTTTACATCAGAGTTTTTTGAACGATCAATGTTTTAACAGTATTATAGCTTTTATTGTTTAACAATTTGGTCATATTTTTATAGAACGCTGACCCACCAGACAAACCTATGCTGAAAAGTCACATGGTGTCACCGGCACTGTCGAAAATGACTCCTGCACAGGCCTGGCGGGTGACTACCCTACCGGACAACACAACTGAACTGACACAGATGGCAGACACACAGCCAGACCAGATAACTTCGCTGCCAGGAGTGATCTCAACCGACAAAACAGGCACTTCAACTGACGTAAGTCTAACATCAATGTCACTAAATTCCTTCTTTTTCATGGCTTCTTTTTTCTTTTTTCAATTGGTACTTACTAGGACACATAAAACTGCCCTACAGCAACCTATTCACACAAAAGCAAACCTTACTGGCAATAAAATAAATAAGAAACAGATGAGAGGATATCAAAACAAATAATGTAGCTTGAAAAAATTCAATAGTTTTCCGTAGGATGAATGAATGTATTGTTCGATTTTGTTATGCTTTTTCCTTTATCATTATTACCATCGTTACTCTTTGTTCCATCTTTTCTTTATGTATGTATGAAAAATCACACATGCATTGAACTCTTGAATTAGTAGAAACTTTAGATTCAGTATTTGTTTAGTTTTCTCCACAGTTGATCCTGGAGACTGCACCTCTAACTACTGAGAAAGATCGGACATTTCCACGTCCACCACCCGTACACGGCGACTCATTCAACACCACAAACGGTTAGACATATATATTATATAACCTTTAAGGATTGTTAGTACAAACAATACATTAAATATAAACCACATGTACTTTCTACAGAAGGAAGAAGTACGCGAAAAATAACGAAGGAATGTGTAAAGTTAGTAGCTTCTAGAAAAAGCCTTTAACACGCCTGTGTAAATTTTGAAATAGATCAGATTCAACAATTACATCAGTACCTTACTACTGAGTAAAGAGACTTTTTTTACACAGCCAAGTCTCATATGTAGCCGACGTTTCGGTGACCGTCTGTAACCTTCCTCGGGGCCATTCTGACTGGTTCAGAATCCCTCCCAGAATGACCAGTGACGTTTGGCTGATTCTTGGTTTAAAAACCGTTTACTCCGTGTGGTATGAAGGGCTAAGCTAAAATAATAGATATCAATTTCACATTGCTTTCCGTTGTTCTTTTCAGGTCCCCGCTGCAAAAACGGCTACAAACTACTCGCCGGGACCTGCATCAGCCTCGTTACCGCGCCTTGGGGGAACTGGTTGTTCGGGAAATCCCATGATGGGGCAAAGGAGGCATGCAGGAAGGAAGGAGCCACACTGGCCATGCCGAAAACTGAAGTACTGGACGTCGCTCTGAGAGATCTGGTCAAAACAGAAGGAGGTAACAAGGAACACTGGATCGGTATGGAGGAGAAAGAGGGAACCTGGTATTGGATAGACGGGTCGAAGGTCGGCAACAACGGGTACAAGGTATGTTGGTACAACGTGTTTATCACTAATAGAGGATATTTCTTCCCTCTAATATCATAAGGCTTTTTGAATGCCTCTCCATCGTACACTTTTAAGTGACACTTATACATGTAACCAGTGATCTCTATGCGTTTTAAAATGAAAACAAAATGCACCCGGGTACCCAAAGGTAACTAAGGTATTACAATGCATGCAACAGTTCAGCTTATCTCCTTTTAAATTTTTTATATCTACTCCAATAACTCCGTACGCAAATACGGTTGCCTCTTTGACATTTTAAAACTCTCTTGCTCTTCAAATAGGGATGGAATCCAGGCGAGCCAGGCGGGTGGTCGTGTGGACAGTACTGGGCAAAGGTCAGTAATCTGAGCAAATGCAATTAATGATGTTGGCGTTTTAGATCTGGATGCTACAGGTAATTTGTCTCTTTCTTTTTATTTTGTTAAAAATTTTTTACTGATTCATGTCTGTTTGAATGCAGTATTCAGCTAGCTGCTCTGAGGGCCATTTGTGTGTATTTAGATGATTTTCTTGGTCCTTTGTTCCGTGCAGAATTTTTTAACTTTTTTTCAATTTAGAGATCAGAAGTTTTATATCGAATGGCGTCTTAACGGCTTTCGCTACTCAAATTTGGTGACTTCCCTACAATGTATATATCTAGCAACAATTTCATATTAAAGAGATATGTTAATAGATTTTGGCGTTGCCACGCCAACGGTTAATCACAGTCAGTTTTTGGAAAAATTTGTAATTTTTATTTAAACATTAAAACTTTTAAGTTTAATAATACGCACTTTCTAACATTAAAACATTATATATACTTAAATGTAAATTTTAGAATGATACATTCATGATTTATGCTAACTCGATGTCAGCATTGCTCAAAATCAAAGGTGGCAAGATAACCAGTTTCATCGCAACTCCGTATTCTGTAATATAAAACATGCATTAGAATATCTTCAGTCCATTTGCGTTGTGTTTTCAGGCTGTATCTTGAAACTGTAATTAAAAAGAAATCAAGATTGTGACGATCCAAGATGGCGGACAGCTAGAATATTCATGGTGTCATAATATAACGTCAATGTGACACTAGTGTTGTTGCCAGGGACTACATAAGTCTTATTAGGCCTTAATATTCTATCATAGACAATTTTCAAAGGTTAGTTGTATTCCCCTGAGGTTTACAAGAAAACCAAATTTGAAGGTTTTAGCCCGAGAAATCGCATAAATGACGTCGAAATGACACAAAAAGTTGTTGTTATGATTCAATTTTTACTAAAACAGCATCCTCTGAAAATTTGGCGGCCCTGTGATCAGCATCAGCCGTCGTCCCTTGCGGACGGGGTTAGCACAACTGTATTCCACAGGGATCTCTTAAGATCTCTTTTAAGTAATTGCTGAGTTGCAGGGGGCAGGCGTCAAAAGCCCCCCACCCCCCTCCGTCCCAGCATGTTAAGATAAATGCCTGATCTGAATCAGTCTAAAACTCGATTGGCTGACTTTGGACACTTTTTTCTTACATAACTCCTCCCATGGATTAACCTCCCAAGTCATCCAGCTGGCTCTCCTCAGGGTCTGGATACCCCATGTGGGACGACGATGCTTGCTTCAAAAAGAAAAGATTCATCTGCCAGCGTCCTCCAGCCTAAATGGAGAAATGTCAATATACATTTTGCCTACATTACAGCATATGAAATTCTCCTAAACATGTGTTTTAATTTTTAGCGTAGCAAGGGGTATCAAGCTATAGCGAGGTAGAAAAAGGATGAAATATGCCTTTAATGGTTGACGTCATGCTATGAAAATGGCACCCGTTGGGCCCACGCTAACCGAAGTTAGACTTCATTATATTACGATTATAAACAGTAGACTTACATGTACATACAATAATGCACATTCATTGCAATGGTGCACAAACATATAAAGTGCATATAGGCCCATGCAATGTTATGTAGTTTGGCCTTTTTATGTGCGAGTAATATATTTGAAGACGTTTAGAATTTTTTCGAATTGCCAAAAAAATTGCTGTCATTAGAATGGAAGATTTTACATAATATATATCAAAGAAGGGCTAGTCTTTGCAAACAAGGAATAGTAACAAATAATATATGTACTGTCTGGGATTGTGTAGAATATATTGGGCATTTCTTTTTTGAATGTACAAATGTCAAACATACACCCATACAAGATGGATATCACCTTTCTGATATAAGGTTAAATGCATCAATGAGTTAATGTTGGTCGGCAAAAATACAATCTACAAGTTTAAATATGGAACTATGGATATAGTCACTGATTTAACTTTAATGATAAGAGATGTGTAAAAATGTAATTACTGCATGTTTGTGATGGCTTATAATGTTACTAGTCACTTAAAAATATGCACTTGAACGTTATGGACAGCAATAAGGTTTTAAAAAAGACGTTTAAAAATCTGACTGTTCAATGTTTGAGACGTTTTATATTCCGATAAGCGGTGACAACCTTTCAAACAATTGATGCAGTTTACACTGCGCATGCTATAGCGAGATTTAGTAATATGTGCTGAAAATTCTAGTTTTATATTCCATTATTGTCATTTATACAACGACATAACAAATAATAATAAGTTTATTGCAAATCCTTGTCGATTGGCTAATCGATGACTAACAACCAGATAAGGACTATTACTATCAGTCTATCTGAAATGACGTCAATGCGCAAACAACAGGATGGCTTATTTCAAAATTTTACATGTTATGTAGTTTAGCCTTTTTTGAGCGAGCTAAGCCTCGTGAAGATACGAAATTACAATATATTTTAAGACGTTTAGAATTTCTTTGAAGTACCAAACAAAATTGCTGTCATTACATTGAATTAGAAACATATTACATAATATATATTTCAATCAAGGGCCAGTCTTTATAAACAAGGAATAGTAACAAATAATAGATGTACTGGCTGGGATTGTGTAGTGTATATTGGACATTTTGAGTGTACAGATGGCGAACAATTTTGGACGGAAGTAGACTTTTTTTTCTAAATATGGTTACACACCCATGCTACACACCCATACACACCTATACAAGATTCTGGGATATCACCTTTCTGATGTAAAATTTGAATACATAAATGAGTTGATGTTGGTCGGTAAAAACACAATGTGTAAGTTTAAATATGAAACTATGAGTATAGTCTCACTGTTTAAAGTTGAATGCTTATTAAGAAATATGTAAAAATGTAAATACTGCATGTTTGTGATGGCTTATAATGTTACTAGTCAGTTATGCACTTGAACGTTATGGACAGCAATAAGATTTTTAAAAAGTCGTTAGAAATCTGACTGTTCAATGTTTGAGACGTTTTATATCCAGGTAAGCGTTGACAACCTTTCAAACAAGTGATGTAGTTCACACTGCTATACCGAGATTTAGTAATATTTTTAAAACTATCATGCATGCCGTCTTATATACAGGAGGGAAGAAAAAAAGATGGTGGGCATTTGATATTCCATTATTGTCATTTATACAACTACATAACATATAATGATAATATTGCAAATCCTTGTCCAATCGAAGGCTAACAACCGGATAAGGACTATTACTAGACTGTCAGTCTGTCTCAAATGACCATGACGTAAATGCGCAAACAACAAGATGGCTCATTTCAAAATTTTACAAGTTAAATTCGAGCCTAAAATAAACATAGGAAAGGACTAAGAATGAGACAAATACAACAAATGTGACTACTCTAGTGTTATAGCTGGATCTTAAATTTTAGATTGTGTTTGACTTCTTTTTTGAGGCAGTGAGAAACCAAAGATCCAATTTCTCTGTGTGTATTTCGTGATGTTAAGAGTATAGTAGTTTTGTTTTTGTGTATTTGACGTTGAAAAATTGGGATGGCATCTTTTTTCTTCTTTAATGTAGGCCAGGCAAGTATAATAATTGGTTCTAGTCGAGACAATGGAAATCTATTAAAATGCCAAAGCACCATAGAAAATAGCATCTACAGTGACGTAGTCGAAAAATGATATACTTTTCTAGAGATATTAATACAATGTCAAAGCAAAGGCTGTTCTCTTGAAATATAATTGGTCGAGAGGAAAACAATAAAACTAGCTCGGAGTACGAAAGTTTCTCTGCACAATTTCTTTTCTTTTAATAGATGATATTTGGATGCAAAACGACTGTCATATATTATGAGTTATAATGTTTACACACAACTACACACGTAAGGTATGGAAAACATAACCTTCTTGGGCAAAGGTAACAATCATTATATAACGGTACGTCACAGAATGATATTTCAATGATATTAAGTGTCAGTACAATATACAATTAAGGATGCAAATTTTTTGGTCATTTGAGAAAAGTACAACTGCATTTTGCCGTTAATTCCCCGGTCTTTTTATAGGTAGTAAGTCGAATCAACAACTTCAGCTATTTATCTCATTTTTTTTTAAATTCAAAAACAATTTCAGTCGAAACCTGTGATAACCACATTCACACGAGATAACGGTTGTATCAAGCATATCGCATTATTTCGCTACAGAAAGATAAGAGAACAACTCTAGAGAAAAAAGATATCCTACTCTAGTGAATTAATGAGATAGGTGGCTGCTATCTCATTAATTCACTAAGAAGAGAAAGAAGATATCTTACTCTAGTAAATTAAGGAGATAGGAGGCCGCCAGAGGGCGCTATTTGGCTTTGGGGGCAACCGATCATAACAGGAAACCCCCACCCCCACCCCCACTAAAACCGACCCGTTGACTATGGTTACAAAGATATCCTTTAACTGCTGGCGTGGGAGTGTGTTGTATGTTCCTATTACGATCGGCTGCCAGACAAGCTTGGGCAGGGCCTGAACACCCCCAAAGCCGACCCGTTTAGCGCAGCGATTGAGCATCTACTAGGCTTCGGCCAAATAGAGAGATAACATGCCAGGGGAGTTGGCCTGCTAGAGAGTAGACCCGGGTCGCTCTCTCATTAATTCACTAGAAGGAGAATTTTGCTCTCTATCTAGTGAATTAATGAGATAAAGACTCTCTATCTCATTAATTTACTAAAAAGAAAATATTCATGTCTATCTAGTGAATTAATGAGATAAAGACCCTCTATCTCATTAATTCACTTGAAGAAGAATTTTTTTTACTTCAGTTTAGTGAATTAATGAGATAAAGACCCTCTATCTCATTAATTTACTAGGATAGAAGCTTATCGACGAAAAAAAATGAAATACATGCACAAAAAAGGATTATCACCAGTTTTTCCAGTTACCACGGGTTTCGAATTGAAATTCCTATCTCAACTAAATAAATGTGATAAATAATCAAGTCCGAATCAACCGCACCCAATATCATACTGCAATCTCGCTAAAGGTTCTAGGTTTGTAGTGCTGCTTTTATATGCAAAGTAATAACAAGTAAGAAACCTTCTACAAAGTTACATTTTGCACCTATTTCTTTAAAAAAATCACTACTGACATGCATCATCAACCTGAACCGTGGGCGACGTTGCCGTTTTTATCTGCATGCAGCCCAGACTCATCGCTGAAAGCAATCTTGTTTTTCGCACTAAATATTGATTTATTGCATAAATCATAGGATGATATCAACGCTAAAGTGCAGACGCATCACCGAAAGCAAGATTGCTTTTCGAATTGAAGATCAGAATCATCTTGGAGTTGAACTTTGACCTGAGTGACTTAATTTTTCATGAGTCCTACGTACCTGCCGTCTAGGCAAGTCTCTTTTTTCCGAGTTTCAACGGCTGTTTCCCTCTTCGACGGCGGTGGTACAGTGATTATTGTCAGAATTTATCACTAAAATAAAGATAGAAGATTTCCAACCTTTAGCTCCATAAATTGCTCAGATGATAAGTTAAATGGAAGAAGAGTCTAGCAGAGAAAACAGAGTTTGTAACAAGATGACGTCCCCTTTACAGCAAGATATTAACAAAGGTAAGTTATAACCTTTTGTTATTGTGTACATTTATTGGAAAAATAACATATGATTCTCCCACTTACGTACATAGTCCACAGGCAAACTGCAATGCATTAGATATAAATAATATTGTTGAATTAACTTAATAATCTAGATACATATCCGTGTTTGCTCTGTTAATATAATTCTAAAATATTTAAATCAATGTTCATATATGATCAGAAATTTTAACAGCGCTTAAGTTGAACGAAAAATTGTAAATGTTTTCCAACATAAAGAGACTGGTTTTAGGAAATATTCCTGAGTCTTGTCTTCTTGAAACCCGTTTCCCTGAATTATATGACATTTGTCAAGAATGATGTGTTTTGTATGAGAGAACTGAACTTATTTTGGCAGTTTCCACCACAGATATGGAGAACGTGGTTGAGCTACCTGCTGCCAATGACAACTATGAAGACGTAGACAGCCATGTTTACAACTACATAGACCAAGATGAAATCCTGAATGAACTACAAAATGTACACACTGGTGAGCAGACGAATGCCGGTACACCTCATGTGGCTACTGATGACCTACTCGGTAACGCAATGCACGACCCTGGTCCGCAACAACAAACTAAGGACGGAGGTACGTTCTGCTGTTTTTATGCAATTACTGTGCAACTTTTCGATTACTTCATTGGTGACATTTTCATGGCTTTATATCGAGTGCACTTGAATTGATTCTATTCGGTAGCGGGGATTGAGTACTGAACATATCATGTTTCTTTATTATTCATTTCTTTGAATAATATACTATATATTCTATAAAAGGTATGGAGAATATTTGATTTGCCGGAACTCGAATTGAAAGTTAAGCTTTTACATATAGCTGGCAATAATGTAGTATTGAGAGATAGACATCTACTCAAGTACCTGTGTAGATATTTGTGGACAAAATACTACAACTGATGGCGACGGTGGATATTTGTAGCTTTCCACTCATTGTGAGCTCAACACTGCGTATGAATGACCTTCATGGCTCCGCTTACATATATTGCAATCTGCTTTTTTTGGAAAGAAACAAAAACTTCAAGATTGTCAAATACCTTCTCGAGATTATTGCTTCTAAATGTCCATGTAAACAAGGAGGATATCGAGGCTGCTTGCTGTACTGACGTCACCATTGTGTTGCGCAATGAAGGCCCCTAAATGGGAACATAAATCTAGTCTCTAGTTAATACATTTGTTTGTCTTGGAAATGTTAGTCCATTTAGGTACGTTTGAGCAAAAAGAACCAGGCAAAGTCTAAACGTTCGCAATTTGGTCATGTTTTGTTCATGTTACTAGTTTAGTGAGCGTAATGACAGATAATAGGTCTCGCATGGCCAGAGCGGATGGATACATGGAAAATTGTAATGTTACCGTTTGTTTACTCCATTCTGTTGGCTGATCTGTGACTAAATATTTGATCTGGTCAACCTACTGTTTCAGTTGTTAACTTGGGACGCAGACCCTTGTGGGTATGCAGTTCAAAATATTTTGTGGGATTGAAATGTGTGAGAAAGTACCTCTATGAGTCATCGATCAAGTGTAGCTAACTATAGCCAGCGTATATACGTACGTGTCCAACGTTAACCCTACCTAGACCGGGGGGGGGGCTAAAAGTGCCCGCGCCAACTATGATGTCACCTAGCGTCTGAACGGCTAGCCCTAGAACAGCCAAACTTGGTGACTTTTCCTAGAATTTTGTTAGCAACAATGCGCTATCATTGGAATAAGATAATAAATTTTTGTGTTGCCATGGCAACGGGTTTCTGACAGGCATTTTTGCTAAATTTAGTACTTTTTGTTTCAACAATAGAATTTTATGGGTTTATGTCAAGTTACTCATGGTTTCTAATATTAATAACATCCCATATAATTTTATGTAAATTTTATCATTAAATATGCATAATGTATGCTAATTTGATGACGTCATTGGCCAAAATCCAAGATGGCGGACCATATCTTTAGAACAGGTATATACAGGTTATTTTCCTCAAAATTTCATCAATACTTCCATTTCTTTTTCCAAAAAAAGGTTGAAATTAAGGTCTTTAGTAGGTTTACAATGTATTTTAGGCTTTATCACGAAAAAAAACTATTTTTGAAAATTCAAGATTGATTCTCCAAAATGGCGGATATCTTACATATGCATGACGTCATTTTATGACGTCACCGGTGTTGCTATGGGCAACATAAGACTTAGTACACCCTAATATTCTGTCATAAACACTTTTGGTGAAATTGTGTTGAAAACAATTTAGTTTTCATGGAAAAAACATATCTAGATGGTTTTGGCCAATAAAATCGCATTAATGACGTCATAATGACGTCATATTACGTCATAACGACATAAAAATTATAGATATGATAAGTTTTCACTAGGAAACCATCCGCTGAAAAAAATTTGGTGGTCATACAACATACCGTTCGCGAGTTCTGAGGGGGGGGGGTCAAAAGAGCCGGTCCCCCAATACAAAAAAAGCCCGGTCCAGGTAGGGTTAATGGCCAATCGTAATCTACCACTGGCGTGCAAACTCCTACGAGCGTAACACGCCTACCGGGCATTCTGTTGAGCTGGACGGGAGAAAATTAATAAACCTGGAAGACAGCCTGTCCCAAAGTATTCAAAATGACAAACATGGTGAAAAAAAACCCACGCGGTGACGTGGAATTTACTCTATGGTGATACTTTTACATGCACAATGACATGGTGATAATTGTCATATATTTATGATCATCTTTAAAAAACACTAGAGAAATAGCCTGCCAGCCGCTTACTAGGCAAGTAAGAAACATTTCATGTCGTTACTATTATCTTCATCTGATTGTTATCTAAGTTGACCTAAAGGTTGTACATCAAAGCAACTTTTGCTTTACTAATTATAATTGCCTATTTACATAATTACGACAAAATACAACCTGACTTTATTTCAGTGTCCTTCTTCTGAATGAGGGTTCAAAACCTACACATGACAATTACAAATAGAGATATGATAACAAACATCAGTTATTGGCTACACACAG